TTATGCAAATTTAAACCCTTGGTAACCGTTATATAGTATAACACTCCCAGTAAACGTTATATGATATTACACTCCCAGCAACCGGATTGTCATATTACATTTCCAATAACCAGTATGTAATATTACAATCACTCCCCGGTAAACGTTTTATAATATTACATTCCTAGTAACCGGTATTTTATATTACACTCTCAGAAAACAGTATGTAATTTTACATTCCCAGTAATTGTTATTTAATATTACACACTCAATAAACCGTTATTAAATAATGCACACCCCGTTATATAATATTGTAAACCCAATAACCCCTTCATTTGTTGGTATGCTATATTACACTCCCATTAGCCGGTTCATCAGCTGGTATGTAATATTACACTCCCATTAACCGGTTCATCAGCTGGTATGTAATATTACACTCCCATTAACCGGTTCATCAGCTGGTATGTGATATTACACTCCTATTAACCGGTTCATCAGCTGGTATGTGATATTACACTCCCATTAACCGGTTCATCAGCTGGTATGTGATATTACACTCCCATTAACCGGTTCATCAGCTGGTATGTGATATTACACTCCCATTAACCGGTTCATCAGCTGGTATGTAATATTACACTCCCATTAACCGGTTCATCAGCTGGTATGTGATATTACACTCCCATTAACCGGTTCATCAGCTGGTATGTAATATTACATCCCAATTAAACAGTTCATCAGCTGGTATGTAATATTGCACTTCGAGTAACCTGTTTGTAATATTAAACCCGAGTAACCAGCATGCAATATCTAATACACTCCAAGTAAGCGGGCTGTAACAGTGATATTTTCTACATACCATTATATCACACTCCAACAGGAAAGTAATATTGGTATGTTTTACCGGTATCACATCACATATCGCATACTCCGAATAAAAAGTATATAGTATTAACCATTATCACACATATAATCGGTAAATGATACCTACCGATTACACATCCCCGACAACCGGTACATAGTACATACCATTATCACATCCCCTAACAACCGGTACATACTACCTACCATTATCACACCCCCAACAACCGGTACATAATACCTACCATTATCACACCCCGACAACCGGTACATAGTACCTACCATTATCACACCCCAGACAACCGGTACATACTACCTACCATTATCACATCCCCAACAACCGGTACATAATACCTACCATTATCACACCCCGACAACCGGTACATAGTACCTACCATTATCACACCCCAGACAACCGGTACATACTTCCTACCATTATCACATCCCGACAACCGGTACATAATACATACCATTATTACACCCCGACAACCGGTACATAGAACCTACCATTATCACACCCCAGACAATCGGTACATAGTACCTACCATTATCACACCCCCGACAACCGGTACATAGTACCTACCATTATCACACCCCCGACAACCGGTACATAGTACCTACCATTATCACACCCCGACAACCGGTACATAGTACCTACCATTATCACACCCCCGACAACCGGTACATAGTACCTACTATTATCACACCCCAGACAACCGGTACATAGTACCTACTATTATCACACCCCCGACAACCGGTACATAGTACCTACCATTATCACACCCCAGACAACCGGTACATACTACCTACCATTATCACATCCCCAACAACTGGTACATAATACCTACCATTATCACACCCCGAAAACCGGTACATAGTACCTACCATTATCACACCCCAGACAACCGGTACATACTTCCTACCATTATCACATCCCGACAACCGGTACATAATACATACCATTATTACACCCCGACAACCGGTACATAGAACCTACCATTATCACACCCCAGACAATCGGTACATAGTACCTACCATTATCACACCCCCGACAACCGGTACATAGTATCTACTATTATCACACCCCAGACAACCGGTACATAGTACCTACTATTATCACACCCCGACAACCGATACATAGTACCTACCATTATCACACCCCGACAACCGGTACATAGTACCTACCATTATCACACCCCCGACAACCGGTACATAGTACCTACCATTATCACACCCCCGACAACTGGTACATAGTACCTACTTTTATCACACCCCAGACAACCGGTACATAGTACCTACTATTATCACACCCCGACAACCGGTACATAGTACCTACCATTATCACACCCCCGACAACCGTTACATAGTAGGCCTACCTACCATTATCACACACCCGACAACCGGTACATAGTACCTACCATTATCACACCCCCAACAACCGGTACATAATACATACCATTATCACACCCCCGACAACCGGTACATAGTACCTACCATTATCACACCCCAACAACCGGTACATATTACCTACCATTATCACACTCCCGACAACCGGTACATAGTACCTACCATTATCACATCCCCGACAACCGGTACATAGTACCTACTATTATCACATCCCCGACAACCGGTATATAGTATATACCATTATCACACTCCCGACAACCGGTACATAGTACCTACCATTATCACACCCCCGACAACCGGTACATAGTACCTACCATTATCACACCCCCGACAACCGGTACATAGTACCTACCATTATCACACCCCCGACAACCGGTACATAGTACCTACCATTATCACACCCCCGACAACCGTTACATAGTACCTACCATTATCACACCCCCGACAACCGGTACATAGTACCTACCATTATCACACCCCCGACAACCGTTACATAGTACCTACCATTATCACACCCCGACAACCGGTACATAGTACCTACCATTATCACACCCCCGACAACCGGTACATAGTACCTACCATTATCACACCCCAGACAACCGGTATATACTACTTAGGTATAAACGGTATCTACATTACAAACTGTGGTGGTTTATGTAGCGGAAACATTTGTGTCAAAGCTTATCGAAAAAGGAACCGATCTCAAATATTCGCAGCCTCGTGAAACTTGTAAATATTGACACATCTCAAGTAGCCCAAGTCGACAAATAAAAATCATGAAATGTGTATTGTCGTGGTAAGAAATCCTACGTGGAAAGGTGTGTGTGAAGTGTTACATTTCTATAATCTGATAAATTCTACAGATTTAAGCTGGACTAAGCTTAGGTTATGTATCTACAGCCATTACGGGTCTACCTTATCAAAAAGGGAAATAAACAAATTTGTTGGTAATATTGACCAAGAGATACTTTTAGACTGAAAAATTAACAATATTATGTGAAAAATAGATGTTATACTGATATGGATGCATAATGAAATCAAGGTCAAGGACGTTAGATAACATCAGCTGATAACGGCGAGGACAGCGAGGCTCGCTCAAACTAAATAATGATTTATTATCATTTTATATAGACTTACGCGGCTTCGCTGTCCCTACCGCATAACGTAAGTCGTCATGAACATTGAACGAAGAGCGACAACTCTGGTATACTTAGGCAGCGAGACATCGTCTCGAATAATAATCAACTTATCGGTGTCGGCTAAATCGAAACTGCTTTGTTTTTATTGGTCGTACTACTTCCATATCAACTTCAAAATTCTATCCGAATAAAGAACCCCTGCAATATCGCACTTGTATCAAGATTAATAGATGCGGTAAGGTTGTGTTGTTAGCAACGCTGGCACACATGTAATACGATAAAGACACTACAAAATTTTGCCTCTAAACAGATGGAAAACTGTTCTGGTATCTGAAATAGTCATTGTGCGAGTTACCAAGATATCAAGTTTCTCATGCCTAACAGTTCACACACAACGTCAGAAGCTATTTGTGAACGTAATTAATATGTTACTGAAAGGAACAGGTGTCCGCCTTCCGGAATAAGTAAATGGAATTCTTTACCTATAGTATTTCGTCATAAACATTAGTTATTATAAAAAGTTACATCCGCCAAACTATTCATTGTGAATAAACATGAGACTGTTCTCGGCCCATCAAAGGAGTATTTTGATGAAAGTTTCAGCCATAGGCCTTTGGATTGTGAAATCATTCCTCGGTATACATATCAATAAAGGGGAGTACTTAGACAAATTTGAAATTCCATTTGTTTAATTACGTTCAGCTTTTTTGAGAAAAAAGAAGTGCGTGATTAAGGAAAATTATCAATAATGAATTCAATGTATTATAACTCTGTGAAGGCTGATTTATCAGTCATTATCATTTGTCCTCGATTAGGAAACTATGTTATAACAATCCCATAGCATAAGAATCCAGTAACAACAATCGCAAAATGTAAATTGAAAAGAAAAGCTAAATCTTTTACTAGTTTCTTGCCATAAATTATAAGAAAAAATGGCAAGAGGTGATCATTATGTAGATTATACAAAAAATATAAACGTAAAGTGATGATGACTTTAGAGAGAATAAGTGATAACATTTTTCCAAACTATCCCAGCTTTCCCTACATAGACGGGAAAGGTAATGGAAGTTTAGTGTTTTTGTAGTGCATGTTTGTTTATATTGGCATTTCTATGCTATTTCACATGGTGTGCTTTATAGTCTTTATCGGAAAAGTAATTTGAAGATTTTGAAACATATGTGTAAACGTTCCTGTAAAATATGTCCCTCTTCGTATCACCTTCTTTGACCCAGAATCCATAAGAGCCCCGCCCACTTTCTCGTCAACGAGTCTATGCCACTGCACTGAGTAGTCGATGACCCGAAAAGTAGTTTATAAACACAGCACGCCGCTTTCTTTCATATGTAAATAGTACCCAGACCGGACGGGTTCATTATTGTCAGGTAAGAGATATTATGATAATCTCTTTACAAATCTCACCAAATGCATCTGTTCAAAAATCATTCAACTAGTATACTTCGGATTTCACCTATATTTACTTTGATTACTGAAATAAAACCAGCATCCTTTAAAGAGAGAAGAAAAGTGTTCTCTAGCATTTTGTTGAAAACAACCTGTTTACCCTCGGTTGGGCTTGCCCATTCTTCTTCCTGTCAACTCAGCTGTCTGAATGGAATCATGGCGGAGACGATGGAAGGTGCGCCAGGGAACTACGCGACGATGGAGAATTCGGACGACAAGAAGTCCTCCGTTGCAAGTAGCGATTTGTCGGAACGAGAAGAATCATCAGAAGAAGAATTATACGAAGTGGAGAGAATTATGGGAATATCTAAAGCTAGCGTAAGTGGTGTTTCCATTGTGTAGGGTGCACACTGTGACATACCGGCTAACGATACACGACCCTGTTTCTGAAGTGCCCCCTAGCAAAGTCCGCATATTTGAATTAAGTTGTATGAAAGAATAGCGGAATAAAGTTGGATTTCATTAAATTATACATATGGGTTTGATCTGAATAGTTAATATATACCAAATTATAAATAGTCCCGAAATTTCTTAGTGATGGAATGCGTCCGATTTGGCAGGAAATGGACGAGTGTTCGTTAGCCTCATAACAATGGAGAGGGTCTAGATTAGGGTCACTTAGGTCACTCCGTGACACGTGCACAAATATATGCCTTGTCTTTATTCATCTTCGTATAAATGTGAAATCATGTTGTGTTATAATCAGGCAAAATGTTCCTACATTTCTATAAATCATAATTATGTTAGGTATGTAGGGTTGTGTTTATCGTCTGCCACTGCAACGTAAACACAACCTAGATATAGGAATAGGGGACAGCCGGTGACACATTTGTGAAATTGGATGCACAGTTAGGCCGCGGCAACTTAATGGGTCCCTCTTGATTCCGGTTTTTCTGCAAGGGCATAGTTTTTTTTTCTAATTAACTCAGTTTTACCAAGATAACATATACATAGATTTGTTGTCCATGTCCCTCCCCCATTACAGTATACTGATACCCACACTGCTATTACACATACTGAAAAAAAATGTTGTTAAATGTTGTCATTAATCATAAGAAAATTCTGCATACATCCTTTTAATCGTTGGTGAATAAGTTGACTTTGATTCTGTTTTCATAAATTCCTGTCTGGCAGCTTTTTGTTACTAGTGATAATTCAATTTGAACTAGTTTTTGGGTTGAATTTTTTTACTTATCAGTGTAGTCATGTATTCTTTGCCATATGACACTCTAGGCCTATATAAATGTATACATAGACGACATTGGGAGGTCTCCATATGGGTGAATGTAGCGATGTGTACTTTTATTTACACCGTTAACCTAAAGTAGGCTAGATGTCTCAATTTATACAAGTCTCTCTTTACATCCAGACTTTCAATACATTTTCCATTGCGCACCTTGAGCTGTCATTTATAAACTTCTAAAAAATACAATATATGTGTCTTTATTTGCTATGTTTTGAATTTTGAAATTTCTGGAAAAGTGTCATTTATCTTTTGAAATTGCATAAATGTCGAGTGTCAACGAAAAGTCCTGTCAGTCAAAGTGATGTATATATGTAAATGTTTGTGGTAAAGTTAATTAAGAATTAGCTTTATGATTATTTTTTCTCTTGTGTAATTTTTATAATATCTTAACAAAGGGATGGTTTTACATGAATATCTAACAATTAATCAATATATGTTTTTATGTTTTGAATTTTAACGTGTGATATTAGGAATCTTGTTACAGTCAAGGAATAATGCATACTTCCTTTAATATACTGTCATGTGTTTATACATCGTATATGATTTTCATATGTAGACTTGTTTTTACCTTGTAGGGAAATGTTACAATGTATGCTGATATTCCATAAAAAAATATTGCAAGGTTATTTACTTCCTGCAAAACTGAATGATTCATGAAATTGTTAGTACACACGAGATGATGTTCTGAGCAGATCATTGTGTCTTTTGATCAAGTTTATTGGTCCTTTATCGTGACTGGATACATATGCAGCTAGGCCTTTGTCATTTTATACAAAATCTGATGCAAAATATACCCTGTGCTTTTTTTAAAAAATGATCATTCTTTATCCGTGACATAAAAAAGTGGGTGGATCCATAACACAAGGTTATTTCAGACATACTTGACATTGAATAAGCTATACTCTTATCACATGTGAGTTGTTAACATTGAGTCATAAATATGACACATGTGCTGCAGCACAATGTCATAGTGTGTTGACAAATATTGTTATCTTTTTTATACAGCATGGTCGTTTTTCATTTTAATTGGTACTTGATAGTTACATATTCTTGATAAATGAATGAACTTTATACACAGCTGTTACTTATAATTATAAATACATATACCCATAGATATTAAGAATACTTAAGATCACTTCTGCATCATAGCCAACATACTTGTATAATGTAGCACATTAATCCCATATTTGTATGAACTGAAGAAAATGGTTTTATATATGAAAAAAATAGTTTTTATATATAAAAGCAAATTTTACATGTTGGACATTCCTTTAATCTTGTTATTAAGTTAAGTTACCTGCAGCTGTGGATATACCCCCGTTGTTGAAAAAGTAAAGTTTTGGCACTGTATATATCTTATACATGTTTATGATGATGACCTCTGACAGATTCTAACGTTTTACAACGTCATCAACTTCATCATTTGGATAAATGAAAAAGTAAATTGACCTTTTTATCCCAGATGAATAGATTAATGCCTTACAACATCATTTATATGCTTTTGACCTGATTTATACCTTCTAGAGTTATTCACAGTGTTGAGGATGATTTTTTACAGCCACTCTGGTACTGGTTTTACAACAGAGACCCTTTTCACTAAGTTGTACAGCTATTTGAATGTCACGTGTCTGCTTATCATGATATGAGGGGATGTACATAATTCTAGAATATTGAATAAGTAGTAGAGTTTACCTATTGTAATAACTTGACAGTTACGTCAGAAACAGACATCAAAGTCAATTCATAGTGACATTGAATATAAAGGATATTTATTTCTAGATCTTATAGTGTATCACCTGTTCTCATCACAATCCTGGATTTGTGCAATACCAACAACAGGTCATGTCTTTCATACTGTGAATTGGCAATTTGAACATAATAAGTTCCTGTACAACGACAGCTGTTGATCCTAGGCATATTGACCCTAATTATGCTTTTTTTGCACATTCATTCAGTATCATCAACTATATACTTTGTATGGGTGCTTGGTCGGTATACAGCTACTGTCTCACACATAAGGCATACTATATACTGTAAATATATGTGATAATATTTCAACTATTATAGAAATATTTCACTTCAATGGAGTTTGTTACATGAAGTGATGGTAAGGATTGTAAGCATGCATGTATTTTGATAGACCCAGTAAACATCCAATTTTTCTAATCTAATGATATATGATACAGGATTACTTGTGTTTACCTGGGGTCTTGTGACATGTTTTAAAATTGTTTTCCAACTATTTCGGTCACACCAATGTAAACACAGAAGATTTATTTTTGTAAAATCCATAATTCTGCTAACTCTTTTACTTTGAGACAATAATTGATTGTGCCATGCAGGCAAACAAGGGAAGGAACTTTGTCGGGAATGAATCTCCTGGGTAACTGGTATAAATCATTATCATGGTAACCAGTTTGGCAGCACTGACTACTGAAATGCCAGCAGCGTCAACATTTCCTCATCTAAGGAAAAGAAGGGAACAGAGACGAGGATCTATACTGGTTGGCTGGTGGTGATTACCAATATGCAGTAGAGGAGGGGGAATCTGATCCTGTCACATGGAGGCTGTATTGATCAAAGCATTTCATGACCAATCCAAGACAACCTGTACCCAATCCATATTGGAAAAGGCTGGGGAAGAAAAGTTTCAAGCTAAAATCATTGAATGTGGAAGAAAGAAATCTATTTAACCTCTTAGCTACACTTTTCCTAACAAAACACTGTGTAGTCAGCATTGATGATTTTTTCTGTGTGTAACAGCAGAATATTGGTATATTTTGTTACTACATGTATGTATTACAACAGATAATTTACATATCAGCCAACAATTTAGTAAGTTACAGAAAGCAAAGTAAATCTTAATTAATTATTATAGTATAATACTGAATTTTACATCCCAAATTATCACCCTTGATTTTAAGATTCTCAGAAATCGTACATATTTCTAGCATTTTGAGGTACATGCCACCATCACATAAGTATAAGTAATGAAAGTGTTCCTCAGTCATGCTGTTGAAGACATGCAAAGAAAGTGTGTTTACAATGGTGACCTATCCTGTGAGGTACAGTGTCTACATTGACATACTTCCTGTGCTGTGAAGCATACACACAATAATAAGAATGTGGTTGTGTGTATATGTATAATATTCAGGGATCTATACTTATCAAGAATTGAGTGGGCAGTGACATTAGATGACTAAGTGCCACATTCTGTCCTTCCTGTCAACATCAGGTCTCATAATGGATCAAGTGCTAGCCAGTTTGCTTTCTGCTTTAGTTACACAGTATAAATAAAAAGGTGATATTTACCTTGTAGGGAATGGTGCCTTTATCTTATAACAACAGAAAAAATTACAATTTCCTATTTGCTCATTGTTGAATGAACTTTCAATTACATTTTGAACATATTTGGATTTGTAGTAATTTCATCATTTATTACTTGAACCAAATTTCTTTTCTTTCTCTCAGAGTTCAGAGTGATAAAGCTAAATTCCTTTTTTTTCTGTTCTCCTTACAAACTGGCCATCAATTCAATTGCTTTTACACTAAGCTACATTCCTTCCTTGATTCTAATGATTAATGAACCAGTTAGCTGACAGAATCATTTTGATCCAACTTCAGATTTCATCCTAGTTTGCATGTCTTTGAGTAATGAGTTCTTAGATTGCCTACTCCACCTGTACCAGCATAGATTCTGCTTTGTTTTTTACTTTGGGTATAAGTCCAATTTTGTTCTTAAGTAACTTATAGCTTGCATTAAAGACTGCTACTCTAAAGTGCTTTGATTAATAGGAAGTATGCTATATAGTTAAATGCTTACCAAAAAACTTTGAAGATTGACCAAACAACTCTCAAATAGGGAGCAATAATTCTTATCTATGATAAATTACTACAATGATTTATGTGGATGTGCATTTCTTTGATAAACTCATGATTCATATGTAATATCTGAAAACTTCTCTGAATTTGATGCTAACATATGAAGATAACTGATATTACAGTTGCCCAGTGACATATTTTGGGGGATTTTTTAACAGTTATCAGCGGCTGTGGCTTTAAGTTAATGCTA